CTCTAATGGCAGAAAGTGAAGAGGACCTAAAGAGCCTCTTGCTCAGGGTAAAAGAGGAGAGCGCAAAAGTGGGCTTGAAGCTCAACATCAAAAAAACTAAGATCATGGCATCCGGCCCCATCACTCCTTGGCAAATAGAAGGGGAAGTTGTGGAAGTGGTGACAGACTTCACGTTCCTGGGATCCCAGATCACCGCAGACTGTGACAGCAGTCATGAAATTAAAAGACGCCTGCTCCTTGGGAGGAAAGCGATGGCGAACCTAAACAGCATGATAAAAAGTAGAGACATCACCCTGCCAACAAAAGTCCGCATGGTCAAAGCAATGGTATTCCCAGTAGTCATGTATGGCTGCGAGCGTTGGACTATAAGGAAGGCTGAGCGCCGAAGAATAGATTCTTTTGAACTATGGTGCTGGAGGAGACTCTTGAGAGTCCCTTGGACTGCAAGAAGATCAAATCAGTCAATCCTCAAAGAAATCAACCCTGACTGTTCCCTGGAAGGCCAGATAATGAAACTGAAGCTCAAATACTTTGGCCACCAAATGAGAAGGGAGCACTCACTGGAGAAGACCCTGATGCTGGGAAAGATTGAAGGTCAAAGAAGACGGGGACGGCAAAGGATGAGATGGTTAGACAGTGTCATAGATGCAACGAACATGAAATTGAGCAAACTTTAGAGGATGGCAGAAGATAGGAAGGCCTGGCGTGATCTGGTCCATGGGGTCGCGAAGAGTCGGACTCGACTGTGCGAGTGAACAACAACAACAAAAGCTTGACAGGCAACCCTAGCTGCCAACAAGAGAGCTCCCATTCTGCTGTATCGGAGCAGAATGTATATATAGCCCCAGTTCACACACAGCTCTTCTTACTTGGCAGCAGGCTGTTAGACAGAGAAGAAGTACAAGCTGAACAAGGGGGAGATCAAGATGGCACTGAGCAAGGAGTTTCGGTGCAGAGGGATCCCGCAAAATGGACAGTAGCAGACTTTCCTTCGTGTACTGTTGCTCGAATTAATTTAAGGATGTGACTTAACCACGCAGGAATACAAACATTGAATGTGCAGACTGATAATTCTCTGGACTCATGAAGCCCGGGCCGCGGCTCCCTGACGATTAGAACGGGCCTACCTTGCGCCAGAACAACAGGTGAATCCCCGACGTGGCCTGAAGTCTGTGACAGGGGCGGCTGCAAGGCTGGCGGCTGCTGGAGGCTATCGGCACATCTCCTGGGTGTGGCTGCCATTTGGAGGTGAGCACGGAGCTCCGGCGATGGCTGGGAAGGTTTTCCTCCAGACATCAGGATTTGCCCGAGGAAACAGTGGAGGTCCTTAGGCCTGCCACAGGAGCAGGGGCAACGACTGGGGAGGGCCTTGCCCCCCCCCGGAGTCTGCCTAGTCACGCCCGACTGCTTCAAGTCAACGAAGGCAGGACCACCCCGGCAGCCGCAACAACCACGGCGGTTGTGCACTCCAACAGTGCGGATGCTGAGGGCTCCAACAACAGGCAGCTCCGAGATACGACCCCTCGGGATCCAGACATTTGAACCGGAGGGCCCTGGGACTGGGAGAGTCCTGGGTCTGGGGGAGCAGCAACCAGGGGCCCAAGGAAATGACTATTGATTCTGAACACCATAGCCCAAAGGAGAGAAGCAGAGAGACTGCTCCACTAGAAGCACAATCAGACCAGACAAGTACAACAGCTACAGGGCAAATCGAGCCTACATAAGTTACAATTTAATGTGAAGTACAACGATATTAGTTAACTGCAACCAGAGGGAATTAATCAATTAAAGTGTTGATTAGAATTGTTGGTTGATTACAATTGATGATTTATTATAAATTGGAAGGAAGAAATTGATATTAGGAATTAAAGGCAGTGGGTATTAATTTAATGAATTTGCTAATTTCAAATTAAAAATGAATGATTAGTAATTAGTAATTAATGAATTAAGGAAATTTATAGTTGAATAATGAACTGGAGTGGATTATCCTCTTCTTGAGTAGGAGGCTTATTGTATTTGGCAACTGATCTGGAATTAACATATATGTAATTAGGGTTATTGGCCGATTGTGGCCATAGGATTAGATATTGGTATAGTTAATTGATTAGATTAGTATAGGAAGACTTGTTAGGATAGAATAGGTAAGGACTGTTTAGGGTTGCAGCAGTAGGAAGACTGCTAACATAAGGAAAGATGACACCCAGCTCTATTTGATGTTGGGCGGCCAGTCGGACTCCAACCCAGAAGATCTGCACCGGGCTTTGCAAGCTGTGGCTGGGTGGCTCAGGCTGAGCAGGCTGAAGTTAAACCCGGCGAAGACGGAGGTCCTGTGCTTGAGTTGGACCGGATCGGGGTTAGGGCTCCCACGTCCGACCTTCGATGGGGCACCTTTGGTGCCAGCTTCGGAGGTTAGGAGTTTGGGAGTGCTCCTGGACCCCACCTTAACGATGGAGGCCCAGATGGCGGCCACTGCCAAATCGGCCTTTTATCATCTGCGGCTGATACGGCAGCTGGTTTCTTTCCTTGACCGCAATGACCTAGCCACAGTGATCCATGCTACGGTCACCTCGAGGCTAGACTATTGTAACGCTCTCTACATGGGGCTGCCTTTGTCTCAAATCCGGAAGCTACAGCTGGTGCAGAATGCTGCGGCCAGGTTGTTGGTGGGTGTCCCAAGTTGGGAGCACATTCGACCTGTGCTGAAAGCGCTGCACTGGCTGCCAATAGCATACCAGATTCGCTTCAAAGTGCTGGTGCTTACCTTTAAAGCCCTACATGGCCAGGGTCCGACTTACCTGAAGGACCGCATTTCCCCATATATTCACCAAAGAGCACTTCGGTCGGGGTCACAACACCAGCTGGTGACCCCGGGCCCTAAGGAGGCCAAGCTGGCGGCAACGAGGGCCAGGTCTTTCTCAATGGCGGCTCCTACCTGGTGTAATGAGCTCCTGGAAGAGATCAGGGCCCTGCGGGACCTTGTACAGTTCCGCAGGGCCTGTAAGACGGAGCTCTTCCGCCAGGCCTATGAGTAGGAGCCGCCACGGCCACCAGTACCACCGCCCCTTTACAGAGAGAGACCGCGAGGGTGGCTGAGTAACATCTTCAGCCCCCCGCCTTCCCCCCCCCCCCGTGACGCAATAAGAAAGGAGTTTACAGGTGCATCCATTGTACTGATTTTAATTTGTTTTAACTTTGTTTTAACTTTGTAACTTGTATTATATATTTTGTATGTTGATTGCACTCAGTGCCTTATGTGAGCCGCCCTTGAGCCCATTCGCGGGGAGGGTGGGGTATAAATATAATAAAATAAATAAATCAATAAATTTTAGATTTTTCTGCACACCTGGGGAGTGCCCCAATTGTGCAGAAAAGTCTCTTTACCCCCCATGTGCCTCTGATTTGCGGAAATAAGTATCCGCATGCACAGGGGACCCCTGGGTATTAGTATATAGACATTTTTCAAAAATATCTTTCAGAGGGGGGAAATATTCTTTGAACTATGGTTTTTTAAAGACTATTTTTACATGTCTGCATTAATTACCAATAGGATAGCTGCTTTATAGTGAAGTAACTGCAATAGTACCAGCTAAGTTGGTGGAAACCGTTATTAAGGAGAGAATTAGTAGGAAGACTCAGCATGGGTACTGTAAGGGAAGATCCTGTCTCACTAACCTGTTAGTGTTCTTTGAGGGGGACCCAATAGATATTGTTTACCTTGACTTCCAGAAAGTTTTTGATAAAGTTCCTCATCAAAGGCTCCTAAGTAAGCTCAATAATCATGGATAAAAGGAGAAGATACCTTGTGGATCAAAAACTGGCTAATTAATAGAAGCAGAGAGTGAGTATAAATGGGCAATTTTCTCAGTGGAGGGTGGTAAGCAGTGGGGTACCGCAGGGATCAGTACTGGGTCCAGTGCTTTTTAACTTGTTCATTAATGATTTGGAATTGGGAGTAAGCAGTGAAGTGGCTAAATTTGCGGATGACACGAAATTGTTCATGGTGGTGAGAACCAGGGAGGATTTTGAGGCATTCCAAAGGGATCTGTCGAGGATGGGCGAGTGGGCATCAGTGTGGTCAAGTGCAAAGTGATGCACATTGGAGCCAAAATCCTAACTATAAATACACGTTGATGGGGTCCGAACTGGTAGAGACTGACCAAGAGAGAGATCTTTGAGTCATAGTAGATATCTCACTGAAAAGGTCGAGACAGTGTGCAGCTGCAATAAAAAAGGCCAACACTATGCTGGGGATTATTAAGAAGGGAAATGGAAACAAATCAGCCAGTATCATAATGCTCCTGTATAACTTGGTGGTGTGACCTCATTTGGAATACTGTGCAATTCTGGTCACCACACCTCAGAATGGATATTATAGCATTTGAAAAAGTGCAGAAAAGGGCAACTAGAATTATAAAAGAGTTGGAACACTTCCCTATGAAGAAAGGTTAAAGTTTGGGCCTATTTAGCTTAGAGAAACGACAGCTGAGGGGTGACATGGTAGAGGTTTACAAGATTATGCATGGGATAGAGCAGGTTGAGAAAGAAGTACTTTTCTCCCTTTCTCACAATACAAGAACTCATGGGCAGTCGGGTTAGAACAGATAAAAGGAAGTACTTCTTCACCCAAAGAGTGCTTAACATATGGAATTCAATGTCACAGGAGGTGGTGGCAGCTACAAGCATGGACGACTTCAAGCGGGAATTAGATAAACATATGGAGCAGAGGTCCATCAGTGGCTATTAGTCACTGGCTCTCGAGCAAGGGAAACCTTTACTTTTTTTTATAGATGGGAACTCTCGGTCTGGGGCAAGTGATGCTATTTATTCTTGGTGCTTGGGGGAGGCGCAACACTGAGAGGGCTTCTAGTGTCCTGGCCCCACTGGTGGACCTCCTGATGGTACCTGGTATTTTTGGCCACTGTGTGATGGAATTGATAGGCCATTGACCTGATCCAATATTGGCTTCTCTTATGTTCTTAGTAATATATATTTTCTTTTAGGTTCACCAAAAATCTGTCACCTGACAAAATCAACTTGAGTACTCTTAAAGGTGAAGGACAACTAACCAATCTAGAGCTTGATGAAGAAGTGCTTCAAAATATGCTGGATCTTCCCACATGGCTTGCCATCAACAAAGTATTTTGCAATAAAGCATCTATTAGAGTAAGTGATTATTCTAGAACAGGAAAGGCATACCAGTTTTCTCTCTGTATTGTCTTTTAAAGATTCAAAATATTTATAAGTCCAAAAATGATAATTTGTTCCATCTAAATTAATTGTGTTGAAGGCTGCTGTTACAAGGGGAAGATATATTTATTCTAGGGGAAGTATCTCCCTAAAAGCCTGGGAAAATAAATACATCTTTACCCAGTGGTCAGAACTGACGTAGCATGGGGTGAATATACAAGGGGAAGGCGTTTCAGAGCTGGGATGCCACGACTGAGATGTCCTTGTACCTTGTTACTTCACCTCAGAAAAAGGAAGGAGACAAAACAGGACCTAGAATGATGATCAAAGAGGATGGGCAAGAACATAAAACATTCATCTAGACAGCCTGTTCCAGGCTACAAGGACAGGCACTTAAAATTGATCCAGAAACAAATAGGAAGCCAGTGATCTTGTTCTAGCAGCATGGCATATGTAGCTGACATATGTGATATGAGAAGTCATTTTTGCTTCATGCTTTTTCTAAACAGGTGGGTGACCACTGTTTATTTACTTTTTACTTTTATTAGTATTGTTTTAGAATAATACCTGTGTTATCTTGCAGATACCATGGACAAAATTGAAAACACATCCAATCAGTTTGGTGAGTTTGATATTCAGCTTCCACAGTTTACTGACATTTTACCATTATGCTATAAAAAGAATGATGAGCAACAACCAGATATGCAGATCCAAAGGATATTAGTTTCATGAGCCCAAATTCACTTGAGACGTGATTGATTGGCTCTGTGTGTGTATTATTGTGTGTGTGTGTGTGTGTGTGTACACGCGGGGCGTTTATAGTTCTGTAATGTTTTGTTTTCGAGCAGTAATGTGGGTTTTCTGGGAAATTTTGAATTGGAACATTTTCTAGAAAAACTTTAATGTTAGCAATAAAGGCAAATACACTGTATGCAAGCCTGAACTATGTACAAGAACTGGAGTTTGTCCATGCTTCATATCCCACATTTAACCCATCTAGTACAATTAACTTGCAGCACAACAGCCTTGGCAATTGTACATAACAGATTGTATTTATGTATATGGGGTTGAATTTTTTTCATGGACTTGGATAATTTTCTTCCCCACATCACTGACCCTAAGATAATCATCATGTTTCATGTCTTAATTTTAACTATGTTAAAATTCTCAGAGTTTGTCCCATAGAACTGTGATCCCTTGTGTGCCATTTTCTCTGCTAACTGCTTATGAGATGTTAAAGTACCCGAAGCATAGTCAAACCAAGTCTCCTGCTGTTAGAGCTGCCAGATTGGGACTATTTGACATGACATTCTGAAGGTATATATGTTATGACCCAGAATAGCAGTGCTTGGTGAAGTGAGTGCCATGCAAGCTAAGCAGTGTTGATTTTAAGTTCATTAAGGAGATCATCTCCCTTATGCATGAGTTTTCTTAAACCAAATTTGCATAATTCGCATTGCTACCAGAAGCTGATTGTCCCAACTGATAAGATCATATTAGGAAGTCAGATTGTTCTTTAAGGTAATGTATTTATTTCATTTGCATAGTTAATTGTTGACCTTGATTAAATGGCTGACATTCATGGAATGCAGTTTGGTAAGGTGAAAATTAGTTTTGTAGAAACATCTTTATACAAGAGTGTTTTGGAAGAATAGTGGCTGTCCCGACTGTGTACTGGAAAATAACTATTACTATGTGCTTACTGTCTTAATTACAAATATTTCCCTGGGCAAACAGTGTTTTGAGGAGACCTTTATAGCACAAAATCTTAAGGCAGTCATTTTGTTTAGAAATAGAGGAAAAGCTGAAGATTCTCAGCCAAAGTAAAATGAAATTGGGTTTGGGCTTAGATTACTCATTGTGTAGGGTTTTCCTGATAAATGCTCAGAAGATGGTCTTCTAATTCTTTTTTCTATTACTGAGACAGAAATCTGCCAGTCACTAACCACACTACAGAAAATTGAATTTCTGGATTTGTTAAGTGTTGTAATTCTTAGGGTTTTCAGAGTTGGACCAAGTCAGACTGAAGAAGACTTTAATAGGGCTAATGTGTGACGTATATAATATTCAACACATTTGATTTTCTAATTATTTGGATAAAACACACATCAAATTAGTCTCAAGAAGTTTTGACAACTACTTCCAGTTTTTGTTAATGTTACTTTTATAATTCTGTGAGATGCCTCAATTTAATCAGTTAACAAATGTGTTCCAAATTTCTTTTGCATATCTAAAGTCATTGGATAAAGTAATAATGGAAATGAGTACATGTGAAGAGCCACGTGCCCCTAATGGGCCATCACCTATAGCGACTGCATCAGGACAAAGGTAAGTTGTTATTTAATATTTTTTATAAAATTGAGGTGGGATGTCTGCTATGATATAGTCAGGAGATAAGATTTCTGTGTTAATGCGCTGTTATAATGCACTCTGTTAATTAATGCTGGACTGAAGTAATCTGGTTCTGAAGAGTGGCATTGCAGAGATGTGTAGGAACTTTGAAAGGCTTCTGTGGGCCATTTCAGTGGTTACTTATCTTGTCTATATTCCCCTCCCATGGATCGGATTAAATCCTAGGATGAACTAGGGTGTACGCAAACAGAGCTCACCATTGGCATTTCCAGGAATGGTGATGTGCGGTTGCCAACAACCTGTCCCTTTAATAGAGGCTTAATATGTGGAAATGAGCAGGTGAAGTTTGTTTTTCATAGATGGAAGTAAGCATCACCTGATAAATAACATCCTATTAAGCCTCTGTTAAAGAGGCAGGGAAGTCTTCCTGCAGGCTATTGGTAACCCTGTTACGATGGCAGTTTTTCCAGTCACCATGACCACTTAAAGTGATCATTAGTCACAGTGGCTGTATGGGCTGGTTCATGGTCTGTTTTCTCAATATGATGGTTGAATCATGAGGAGAAAATTAGCAATGGTCTCTTCTTCCCATTCCCCATCCCATTAATAAAAACACAGCACATATGAAGCTCAGAGGTGTTTTCATATATCATTTGTAGTGATATCTGGAGGGGACAAAAAGCTTTCCTGTAAACATTTCAAAGGTGCTTCTTGATTACTGTATTGGGAGTCATATATTAAAAGGCATAGTGGCATATATCTTTCCTAAAGACTGTGTTCTTCAGCACATCTGACTCTTACAAGCAGTACAACATTCAGTAGGGACCCTAGCTCTGGTTTCTGTGGGATGGTCCCTTTTGTTGGTTTCTAATTCTGCAAGGAACTACACTCAGGTTGTTGTTTTACACCAGTTTCCTTTGACTTGCACATACCGTGTTTATGGTAATTAATAGAACAAAGTTTGAGTCCAGTGACAGAAACTTTGTTCTGCTGCTTCAGAACAACATGATTACCCACCTGAATCTATCATTATGGTAATTAATAGTTATTACATAAAAGTATACTAAGATTCTGATGGAGATCCCTGCATTTTATTTCTCCAGTGAATATGGTTTTGCTGAAAAAGTGGTAGAAGGAATATCTGTTTCTGTAAACTCCATTATAATCCGAATTGGAGCAAAAGCTTTCAATGCTTCATTTGAACTTTCTCAGCTGAGAATATATAGCGTCAATGCAAACTGGGAACATGGTGACTTAAGATTTACTCGCATACAAGAGTCTCAGCGTGGAGAGGTAAAGCCACCTTATATTTAGAATAAAGCTGCTTTCAGAAGCATAGCATTGTCTAACTGATGCCATTAATAAATGTCAGGTTAATGTTACTTCAATCTCAACATTATTATTTAAGTTACTTCAGCGGTGGTGGTGTCTCGTATTGAGCCCCCATTTGCATGTACCCCAGGTGGTATGATTGTTGCTGGTTGAGAAGTGAGTCACACTTTACAAAAATGTGTTCTGGAGTTCCATACCTCCCAGTTACGCATAGGCCCAATATGTATTGAGACCACAGTGTATGGAGAGATCCTTGCCTTCTTCCTCATGCCATTTTCCCAATGTGAAATAGCCCTGAGGAGCTGCTATTTGTCGTTTTGGGGAAACTGATGTGTAGCCACCGTGTAAGTTTCCTCAGTGGAGCAAATAGTGATTCCCTGGGATTGTTCTAGGTTAGGAAAATGGTGCACAGGGAGGGGGTATAAGTTCTCTGTCATAAGGCCCTGCGGATTGCCGTCCTGATACAAATCTCACCCATGCGCACTTGGGAGGCATGAACCTGCAGAAGATGCCTTTGTAACGTGTGACTCAGCCCTTTGTGGCTGCTTGCATGTCATTTTAGGTCTGTGCAATGATTTCAGGCTACACAGTTCTCTCTTTTATATGCTGTTCAAACTGTACTGTATAACTTATGAAGCATGCTAAACAAAGGAATTGTATGGCCAGAAAACTTTATTTATATCAGTGAATGGGAAGCTATTTCCCTTGGAGAATATGTAAATGAGCCTATAGACCAAGTTCAGAGGATCTGCCAGGTTCAGGGAGCATGCATAGCAAAATGTGAGTGAGAACCCTGCTCCTAACTAACTATTGATCTGTTTCTGAAGTTAGCTAATATATGTTTAACAAGGATAGTTTGTACATTTACACCGTCATTTGAGATGCTTTTATTGGTTGGCATGACTTTACAAGCTGTAGTTGAAGCCATGTACATTGTCGTGTACATTTTGCAAATGCAAATCGTGGATTTAATATAAGCACTTAAAATATACAGAATGAGGGAGGAGGTAAAAGAGCTTGCAACCAGAAGAAGAGGCAGAGAAACAAAAGGGAGAAATTGTCCCGCAGTGTGTTGTGTGTGCTGAAATTTAGCACCCCAAATATTGGAAGTAGTCCTCTAATTATCTTTAGATCCACAAATGAACTATGCCCAGGAGATCTTGGGAAATAACTTTTCCCACATATGCCTCCCTGTCCTTTAATATTTGAAAAGGCTTTGCTCTAGGGCCTTCATTTACAATGAGTTAGCTGTGCAGTCCTTGATACAGGGGTTTCTAAGCCATGGATACTGCAAGTCTTCTTGTTGATCCAGTTTTTTAAAAAATTAGAACTATGTTAATGGATACTATTTTAGTTTTTTTTAAAAAAATACTGCTGCTTGTCTGTTTTTGGGATTCTTATTGTACAGCATTTTATGTACTAGAAAACAAGTAGAGAACTCTTCTGAGAATTCAGTATTTTAAAAAATAAAATGTCTTTTTAGTTTTAGATTTTGAGCAAACATTATTTTGTTCTGCTGGGCTTCTAGTAAACTACCTTAACTATTCTGATTGCTATCACCAATGTTTAGTCTGTTTTTACAACTTTGTTCTTCATAGCACTGCTATTTTTTACAATTTTATATTTAATTTTTTTCCCTCTTCAGAGGTTTTATGTATGTTTTATAAACTCTTGGGCACTTTAAAATAATAGCTAAGCATTTTTATACTATAATTTTTCAAACTTTTTTGAAATGTGCTGCAGATTCATGTGTGATGACAGAATCGGCATAGTTGCTTAATAACACTTAAGTAACTGTTTAGTGAGTGTGTATTACATTAAACTTCATGTATACCTTTCTATTGGTTCTTAATCTATGGGGGTTTTTTTTAGGTGTTGACATTTAAAGAAATCAACTGGCAGATGATCAGAATAGAAGCAGATGCAATCCAAAGTTCTCAACATGAAATTATGAGTGCTCCAGTTCGCCTGATTACTAACCAGTCCAAAATTAGGATCACACTTAAAAGAAGGGTAATGTTGAATACTGCTTTTGAAGCAATGTTATATACTGTTTGTGAAAATAGAAGGCTGTTGAGAGAGTCTATAGCAGAAGTCATACACAGTGTACTTACCACCAGAACAGTTTGACATTAACTGGATAAAATTTGAGGATGAGACTGTTCTTTTATAAGGGGTCTGGATTTTTTAAAAAAACTTGTGAAATCCTTCTTCCTCAAAAAATCCTTCTTCCAGGTTCTGGAAAAGGGCAGGGGAATCTCTGACTTCCTGTTAAACATCTCTGAGGTTTGGAATATAAGAGAAGAGATTAGTCCCTTCCCCTCCTGTCCAGCTCAGAGCTGAAGAGAAAGGGAAAGGCTTGGCGCCACAACATCTCTGAAACTCAGCATGATGTCACTAATGGGATTGGGCACTAGTAAGGCCAGATATATAGACCACCATGTGCAGGTATGCTCATTTGGCCTGTTGATACCTGATAAATGAAAGAAAGACATCTGCTGTACTTGAAACTATTCTCTATTGGTATAGGGAGCATCACCTACTAAAGCCTCACCTGTGGGTAAGGCCATTCCTCTATTTGTCTCCCCAGGTATGAGCCATCTAACAGTAGTTGGCACCAGCTGAATGAGGTGGCTAGATCTCAAGTTGCTATCAGATTATGACTATCCATGTATTTATTTGAGTGCTTTTTAATTTTGTTTTAAGGATGCCTATGGAAAAATGGGATACGTCTCTAATAAATAGAGGCATTATTTTGCCTCTAAATTGAACATATTTAATCTGAAACTCATGCAGCACTAATAGATTGCGTCTATTTTTTAGGTTAGTTTCTCAAGACAATGTTTATATAGCATAAAATGCTAATTCAGGTTTACCTTTATTCTCATTTTACTGTTAATGAACAATCTATTTCAGCCATGGCCAGCAGGAGGCACAAAGACGCAGCATTTATGGAGAATAAAGATTCTGCTTTACTGACTTTAAGCATAGTTTAATGTTCTGTTTCAACATGTAATCCAACCTTTTGGCTTAATATCAAAAACACAAATTATTAACTTCCAAAAATATCTTTTTATCCCCTCAGTTAAAGGATTGCAATGTGGTAGCGTCCAAACTGATTCTAGTACTGGATGACTTGCTATGGGTTTTAACTGATTCCCAGTTGAAAGCTATGGTACAATATGCAAAATCCCTTAGTGAAGCAATAGAAAAATCAGCTGAACAGAGAAAAAGCCTTGCTACTGAATCCGCACCGGTAAGCTTGTTCAGTCATTGTGTTTTAATATTTAGTGGATACAAATGATCCTAAGCCAATTATGCAATCCAGTAGAAGAGTCACACTTGCATCTCATTGTCTCAGTCAGATTTAAACAAGTGAATTTCAGTCCCACTGATTTTAGTGGGTCTTAGATGTGTCTAACTCTTTATTGGGCTGCATCCAAAGACAGCAACACTTAGTTTATATCATTCTAGTTTGACAACAGTAATGGGGATTCCCAGGGCTTTTTTTCTGAGAGAACACACCAGAATGGAGTTCCGGAACCTCTTCCACAAAATTCTTTTAAAAATATTTAAAAGTTCATGAGTTTTCAGTATACAGATAGAAAACTTCATTTCCCTCTTGAGAGTTCCGACACCTCTTTAAACAACTACAACAAAAAAGCCTTGGGGATCCTACCCATTTTTGTCCTACATCATAGAAGGGAAGCCATAGGTAGGTTAAGATAACCAGATGTTGGGCAGATTTATTAGTGAATAGACAGAAAAAAATGAGTATCCTGTCATTGCAGTCTAGCATAGAATTATGTCACAGATGTTACATTTCTTGAAGGAGACCATGGGTAACTCTGTTCAAGGCCACAGCCATACAAAGATTTTTAAGTATCAAAACTTTAGCTAGATGTTAAGAATTATTATTAGCAGTGAGCAGAACAGTCTTTTATGTGTCTGTAGTATTTGTTTGTCGTATTCCTTGTCCTCCTTTTTAACAATATGTCTTACAGTGTTCAACAGATTTGTTTATCCTAGGAGACAGTAAAACGCTGATATTTTCAAAAGGACCAATTTTATTTCATTTTATGTACTTCTGTATCTAATATTTAATACACATACCCACATACTTGTCTTATTAGCCCGGCAGTGGGGAAAAGATCCTCAGAGAAGTGTGATGAACATTTGAGAGATTATTTATACAAAAGTGTGGTTTCATGTGTTTAGGGACACATACAAGCTTGTCCTTATACATTGTCACCAACATATGGCTGACAGACTTGTATGAAGACAATTAAAGTAGAATGAGTGAAGCTGCTTGTTCAGCATGGTCTTCAGTACTGCCAATATTTTATTGTTGGTTTGAATAGCAATTAATATACTAAACTTTGATGAAGGCAACTTTCTTTAATACCTAAGTGTAATGTATATATTGGACTTCTTTTCACTTTCAGATGTTTAAATACTTTATCCTGAAGATGAAGTCTGTATAAAGTTATATGTTTGTTTCCAGAGTTCCACTGCTGTGCCCAGTTCTCAGCAGGTGAAAACACAGCAGTCTTCAGCAGCTGTTGACCACAATGATGCAATTGTGAAACTATTCAATAATTTTGATGTTAAGGAAACTTCTTATCATCTAGTAATTTCCCATTTGGACTTGCATATATGTGATGATATTAATGCTAAGGAAAAAGGTAAATGAACTTTATTTGATGTCTTGCTTTAGTACTAAAGACATTGCCTTAGGGGATTTTTTCTCTATGAAGCTGTTCGTTATTATATCTGTTTTGTTTTCCATTTTTATGGTCTAAGCTATAGTTATTGAATGCTTATATGTTGGTGTGATGGACTATCAAGGGTTAATGCCCCACAGAGTCTGAGAACCTTTGAGTGACAGGCTGTTCAGATGGAATTCTGTGGAGAGCATCAGTTAAGAAAGGACAGTTGGGAACTGACAGTTGAAGAAGAGACAATTTAACCCTGACTGTGGACTGGGAAGGTGGCAGAAGGAGTGGGTGGATCAACAAGGATCCCCATTCAACCCAAAAAGGAAAATTGCTTTTAGTTAAGAGAAGTAATCCCTGCCCAGTGAAAAGGGAGATAGCTCTTGAAAAAGAGGAGTGATCCCTCATCTGTGTAGAGAGAAGGATTTTGGGGACTTGGTTGTATGTTCCTGTCTTCTAAACGTGAAGTCTCAGTGAAACTCAGAAACCTATACTTGTGAGTTAAAGCAGAAACTGAAAAGAAAACCCTTTCCTCAAAGTTTCAAAAACCTTATTGAAAAGCAAAAACACTTGTTGGCGACATATTATCTGGATTTAGTGTGATCACAAAGTTACCTCAGTTTTATTATCAGTTCACATCATACATCCTACCTGATTTCACCCAACCTTTTCCCCTCCAAGTTAAATAAAATATTTTATTTTTAACTTTCAAAAGTGTGCCATTACAGAAGTAGAATATAAGCAGATGATTTTGTCTCTTTCTTCAAGCCCCAGGCTGGGCCAGCATCAAAATATATAATAATGTGACCGGGTGGGACAGCCATAGATCAACAAATGATGTAGGGGCTGTTCAGCAAGCAAGAAAGAAGAAATAAAGGGAAAAGCCTGTGTGTGAGGGAGGGAAGCAGGCGAGATTGCCATAGTTGGTAATGGCATCTTTAGTTAATTACCACTGTATGTGTTACGTAGGTGTTTGGTGTAATGTGAACACAAAAAGTATTGAAAATGTTCAGTGTTCAGGAAGCTTACCATTACTTATTTGTATAGATATTTATACTCCTGTCCCTGGTAGAGCGCCAAAATGCCTTACAACATCATTGTGTCTGCCTCTGTTTTATCCTCACTGTAACTACCCAGTGAGGTAGGTTAGACTTAGAAATGTGTGACTGACCTAAGCCCAGTGAGCTTCCATGGCGGAGTTGGGATTTGAATCTGGATTCAACATTCTAACTATTAAATAACACCACACTTGCCTAATTAAGGTAATTAGATAAGAGTTCATCTATTTTCTACAAAGGATTGATAGATCTATATGTTGATGGGCATTTTTGTTAATATTTATAATTTTGGTATGTATTCTGTCTTATCCCTAAAGTAATGTTTAGCAAATAATTGTTTTACAGTTGCCAACAGGCGTATTTCAGGAGGAGCTATGCAGCTGTCCTTTAGCCAACTGACAGTAGACTACTATCCTTTTCACAAAGCAGGTAATGGTAAATGCTGAGTTGTAATCTTTTAGTGGTTTAACACATACAAAAAATTTGAACCACGTTACTGCCAAGTAGTTGAATGAAGTTAATATTCTTATCAATATATATAATTCTCAACATGGCCCTATCTGTGGATTTGGGCTGTAGAGAGAGAAGGAATATATATTTTTTTATTAAACTTGAGGGACAAGCCCAGCCCCCTCCCCCAGGAGGGGGGAGCAAAGGTGCTGGCTCAGGCACTGTTGCCCCTCTACTCCAGACCAGCAGGCAGGGAGGAAGAGCCACCTTCACTCCTGCTGAGATACCTGTGCTGCAGGCCAGTGAGCAAGGAACAGGAGCTGCCGCCATTCCTGCCATTTGAGCCAGGCAGTCAGATGGGTGGGAGCACCTGAATCACTGCTCCCCCCCCCCCCACTGCTGAGGTAGTGGCTTTGTGGTTGCAAGTGAAGGAGGACCAGGAGCCACCACCACTTCCCACCAGTTGAGCTGGGCAGATGAAGGAGGGGGAGTGGCATCCACTATGGGAGCTGCTGTATGCTTCCACTTCTGAGTGAGGACAGGAGAAAGATAGACCAGCTAAGAGAAGGGAGTGGGAGAGAGACACTGTCTCCCTGAAGGGGAGGGGAAGGAAACAAAACAGGAGAATGGGATGTCCCCTCCCCTGTGAGTGTTCATGGGACCCCACTTATTATCTTGCAAGTTGCCTGAAACTAGAAAATGGAATGAAGATGCTGCAGATTCAATATCTTGTACAAAATTCAATATTATATCTTAACATCTGCTTATTGAAAATGTTGCTTAAATTGGTTTTAAAACACTTGGCATTTATATGACACTTTAGAGTGTTCCAAACATTTTACCCATATTATTTCAGTAATCCTTACAGCAACCTCATAACATAAGTGAATAGTATTATCCCTATACAGAAATTCAATGACATTGGGAACTTTCCTTATTTGTAGCTGAGTTTCTTAGCTTTCACAAGGTTTGTAACTGAAAACTGGCTAAGAATTTTCAGAATGACTGTGTCTTATTTTTACATGGTTTTAAATAAGTGTAAAGGTAAAGGTTCCCTTGCTCGAAAGCCAGTCAAATCCGACTCTAGGGTTGCGGTCTCATCTCCGTTTCAAAGCCGAAGAGCCAGTGCTGTCCAAAGACGTTTCCATGGTCATGTGGCCGGCATGACTAAACACCAGGGCGCACGGAACACTGTTACCTTCCCACCGAAGTGGTCCCTATTTATCTACTTGCAATTTCTTGCTTTCGAACTGCTAGGTTGGCAGGAGCTGAAACTAGAGACAGGAGCTCACCCCGTCTTGCAGCACCCGGGTCTTGAACTGCTGAACTACTGACCTTCCACAGCCTGCCGTTCAGTGTCTTAACCACTTGAGCCACCGCAGCTCCATTTTAAATAAGTAGTATATTGTAAAAATGCTTTATGTTTATAGGTAAGCATTTCTTGGCGCTCAGCCGCAACCTACCCATCACAGTTGAAACAGTGAGTGAACTCGAGGCCCCTTGCACGCCTTTGGTTCTGGGTTTGGATTGTTTTAGCCCACTCAGCCTGAAGGAAGTTGACAGATTGCTTGTATCTGTGCACCCAACCATATGCAGCCTTGATCCGTGACCTTCTTGGCTCATTAAAGCGGTCCATGAGGGGTTTCGAGGTGCTTTAAAGGAGATTAGCAACAAGTCCCTCTCTGAGGGGCAGTTCCCTGAGGCACTCAAGGAAGCGATGGTCCGCCCTCTCCTGAAAAAAACAACCTTGGACCCGACCGAATTGGCCAACTATCGGCCGGTGTCCAATTTGCCCTATTTGGGCAAATTAATCGAGAGGGCGGTGGCGATACAGCTACAGAGCTTCCTGGATGATTCTTCTGTCCTAGATCCTCTCCAGTCCAGTTTTCGCCTGGGACATGGGACAGAGACAGTGCTGGTCGCCCTTACTGACGACCGCTGGAGGCACCTGGATCGAGGTTGATTGGTGGCACTGTTGTTGTTCGATCTGACGGCTGCATTTGAAATAGTCAACCACCAGTTGCTGACCCACCACTTCATCGACGTGGGAATACAGGGGTTTGCCCTTCAATGGCTTGCCTCTTTCCTCCAGGGTCGGGGACAAAGGGTGGCACTAGGGGAGCAGCAGTCCCGAAGACACCCACTTGAATGCGGTGTGCCTCGGGGCGGTGCTCTCCTCGATGTTGTTTAACATCTATATGCGCCCCCTTGCCCAGATTGTCCGGAGGTATGGGCTTGGGTGTCATTAATATGCAGATGACACCCAGCTCTATCTGATGTTGGGTGGCCAGTCAGACTCCAGCCCAGAAGATCTAAACCGGGCTTTGCAAGCCGTGGCTGGGTGGCTCAGACTGAGTCGGCTGAAGCTGAACCCAGCGAATATGGAGGTCCTGTGCCTGAGTCGGGGTTGGTGATCCATCTCCCGACCTTCGATGGGGCGTCTGGTGCCAGCGCTGGAGGTTAGGAGTCTGGGAGTGCTCCTGGATTCCTACCTAACTATAGAGGCTCAGGTGGCAGCCACTACCAGGTAGACGTTTTACCATCTTAGGTTGATTCAGCAGTTGGTTCCCTTCCTTGACCGCGGCGACCTGGCTACAGTGATCCATGCGACGGTCACCTCGAGGTTAGACTACTGTAACGCTTTCTACATGGGGTAGAGAACAGGTAGAGAAAGAGGTACTTTTCTCCCTTTCTCACAATACAAGAACTCATGGGCACTCCATGAAATTGCTGAGCGGTCGGGTTAGAACGGATAAAAGGAAGTACTTCTTCACCCAAAGAGTGATTCACATATGGAATTCACTGCCACAGAAGGTGGTGGTGGCTACAAGCATGGACGGCTTCAAAAGGGAATTAGATCGGCATATGGAGCAGAGGTCCATCAGTGGCTATTAGCCACAAGGTATAGATAGGGGCTCTGGGGCAAGTGATGCTCTGTCTTCTTGGTACCTTGGGGGGGGCAACAGTGGGAGGGCTTCTAATGTCCTGGCCCCACTGGTGGACCTCCTGATGGCACCTGGTATTTTTGGCCACTGTGTGACAGAGTGTTGGACCAGATGGGCCTTTGGCCTGATCCAACATTATGTTCTTATGGGGCTACCTTTGTCACAAATCCTGAAGCTGCAGCTAGTGCAGAATGCTGCGGCCAGGCTGTTGGTGGGTCTCCCTAGATGGGAGCACATCCAGCCTGTGCTGAAAGCGCTGCACTGGTTGCCAATAGCGTACCGGGTTCGCTTCAAAGTGCTGGTTCTTACCTTTAAAGCCCTATATGGCCAGGGTCCTACATACCTGAGGGACCGCCTTTCCCCATATATACCCCAAAGGGCACTACGGTCTTGGGCACAACATCGCTTAGTGATTCCAGGCCCCAGGGAGGGCCCGGCTTGCTGCAACCAGAGCCAGGGCCTACTCAGTGGCGGCTCCTACCTGGTAGAATGAGCTCCTGGAGGAGATCAGGACCCTGCGGGATCTTGTACAGTTCCACAGAGCCTGCAAGATGGAGCTCTTCCGCCAGGCTTTCGACTAGGAGCCTCCACTACCACCATCACCAATGAACCCGGCTGATAACTGGGAACGGAGTGGCCTATGACGATCGCACTTCAGTGGCGTGGTGGATCGGTACCGTTGTACAGGGATGGAGGCAACATCTACTGGACACCATCTTGTCTTAATTTAAGAGCAACAGCATTGAGCATGTTATGTAATTTCAATATTTATTCTGTTTTATCCTGTTTTATTTATTTATATACATAAAATTATATGTAATATTTGTAGGTGACAGTTGCAGCCATTGGATGCATTACAGTGAGGCCACCAAAACGAGAAGTGGATGGGCAGAAGAATTATTACAGGAATTCAGAAGCAATGTTGAATTGCTGAAGCAGGCTGTGAAGGATCATAATAATGCAGATTCTCCTGTTAAATCCCCTCCTCATGGATCCCCACAACACGCACAAGCAGGTATTTCATTGTGTGCATTGTTGACTTGTATGACGAGCAAAAAGGCTTCTTCACCCCTGTCTTAATAATACGTTCCATGAATTTCAGTGGATTACAATTGGATACAAACACAGTTGTAGGGGCATTACGAATACCTGGCTTTGTCTTACCTTTGGCATCTTTTCCTTAAAACTTAATTTCAATTATAATTGTTTGAGAGTATGAAAATAGTTTTAGTGATGCTTGGAGCTAGTGGAGGAAAAGAAATATGATACTCCAAAGCTTGCACAATTCTGGCAGGTATGCACCAACATTACAGTAATTGTCCATTATATTTAGTAAAGTAATGTGTTTTAATTTTGGCATTGTTCGTTTTAATTATCAATCTTCTCTTAGAGTTCTGTCTGAAAAATTTTGTAGCACAATGGTGGAGTTGGATGGCAGTTTTAGAACAACTGCATCTGGCATGTGGTTTTTATGCCTTCTGTCTTCTACAGGCAAGGAACAGATACCTCAAGGAAACACTAAGCCACCTCCCATGTCCTCTCAGCAGTCCAAGGCTAAACTGATGTCCAGCCCTGTTGTGGTTAGGCTTGCAGATGTTAACATTTATCAGGTATATTCCAGCACAAATTGCTGCTGATAGTTCTTTTGTGTTTTGATGTACACGTGATGATGACTGAGCATGTGTTTCTATTAAGCTTCTTGCTGTCAAGGGTTGACTTTTCATGGCCAGCTCTTGGCTCTGCTTTTAGATTTCAAGTTGTTCATACTTTTGTTTTAGGAAATATTTATGTATCATTCTTGATCTAGTCTATTTTTTTGCTCAGTTTTCTTACTGACTTGCATAGTAGCACTTTTAAAATATTCATAATTTTTTGGTTTACAGCATAATACTGTTTTGATATATATTTAAGAATATGTTGAATCATAAAAATGTGAATTATGAAAGCTATCAATTTTTTTTCTAGTCAGGATTGAGCAAAATTGGAACAAAGTAACCAGATACAGTGCTCTGAAAAACTTTTACAACTTGTACTGTTAAGCATATTTTCACTTCAAGCCAAAATCCAGTGTATCTTGGATTTAAAATGTCCTTCATTTTTTTGTGACAATTGTGTCTCACAATACCTAGAGCCCAAAAACATTATTTTACATGAGATAGAATATTTCTTCTAGTTTCACTCCTTCTCTTGTGCATATTGAATATCACACAAATTTAGGTCCTGTATAAAATTAGAATTTTTATTTTCTGTTTGCAACCATATAAGCTGTATTTGAAATGTATTAGAAAACTAACAAACTTCTACGGGGAAACATGTAGAATAAATAATTTCTAATTTTCACATCCTGAGCTGTATTTGTACTCCAGGAACATCTCTCTGTAGTGTAAAAAGTATCTCTCAAGCTATCAGGAAGGGTCATCAGGTTGTTAGGATGGGTTATATCTCTTCAGAACACTTAAAATGCTCCCCTGGGTCAGTACCTCTGTTAAAAAAAGTATGGGGTATTTCTGTACCCATTATGTTACATAGACTGGTGTAAAAAAGTACCTTCAAAGTTATAGAGCCACTTCTGTATGCATTCTGACCAAAAAAATATGACTAAGACACATATTCGCCCACCTATGATAACTGCTTAACTGAAAAAAAAAAATCTGCATTCAAAATATAAGTATTTTGAACTTGCCTTTTTCCCCCCTGAACTGCTCGGTATGTGAATCCAAACAGTATAGGGAATAAGATATGTAAAAGAAATCTGTAACATATTTTCAAAATATTTTTTCAGTGCTCTGTGGTAAGTGCTGATTGAGAAGTATCATTTACACTGTGTTTCCAGAAAAACACTACGTAATGCTGAATCCTGATTTTCAGGTCTCTACTGCAGATCAATATCGCCGTTCTCCTAAAACTCTTATTTCTTGCAATAAAAAGTCTCTATACCTCCCGCCAGAAATGCCAGCTATTCATATTGAATTCACTGAGTACTACTATCCAGATGGAAAAGACTATCCCAGTAAGTGTGTTTTTTGTTTTTGAACCCAGGAGAAAGCTGCTTGGAAGGCAAGGGGTTTTTTTTGGGGGGGGGGGGGGTTGTTTGGTGGCATTCTGTATTTTTGGAGTGTTTCTACGTGTTTTATTTATTCATGGTAGCTGTTACGTGATTAAAAACAGTTAACATCTCTAGGACCTTGGTATACCTTTCTGACTCCTGTTTTGAGCTTCTAGAATGCTGTGACCTAGATGATGTGGGCTGATTGGTTAAAGATAGTTATGTGTAAGGAAAGTGGATTCAGGCTTCTCCCCTGACACACGTCGCTTCAGGCTCTCCCCCCCCCCCCCCCCCGAAATTCTGATGCTTAAGACCAGGGATTTTTTTGACCAAAGCATCTATATGGAGTTACTTCCTATGGCCCCCAGAACCCATCCAGGGTACTAGGGGATCACAGTTGTAGACCAAGAAGGGAAAGGAAGCAGAGCCTTTGAACTGTTGAGAAATAGCCTGAATTTAACAAAGTAGTTATTTTTTTCTGCATTTACTGCCAAACCATACAACAAATTGAACTATTCCATGAGTTCCCAAGGTGTAATTAATGCTTGCCAGGTAACTTAACTAATCTGAAGAGGAGTCAACATGTTCCTGTGTAAGAAAATCCTTATGAAATTTCATCAAGGAAAAGTTTGAGGCTAATCCCTATGTACACACTATACATTTTGCCCAAAAGATGTTGCTTACATAGCCTTTCGGTGCTTCCCAGCAGATGTAGGTATTTGTATAAAGTAATACTGTGTTCAGTTTATCTACATGCAGATGTTGACTCCTCATACAGTTGGAAGTAGGAACTGTACAGCTATCATGGCCCCATGCAGGTTCCCACTGTGTTCACTGGTCAAAGCTACTTTTGCAAGTTTCTGTAGTGCTATAATTGCATACAGGCACCTGTTTGTCAGTGACCATGACAGATACCACTTTCCTTCCCCAAAGTGGCTGGAAAGGTTTGGGAATATTTAAACTATCTTTTTTTTGTACATATGATAGGATATATGCTTACCCACATAGCCTTATATGTATTATTTTGGCTTCGAGCCTCTGAAACATGACTTTTTCATCCCCACCGTATCCCCATGCCCCAAACCCTGCTTCTGGAGGATAATCCCCCAGGAATAGTGTTTTGTGGGGGTGAGGAGGCATTTTGGTCTGCAGCAAGAAGGAGAAGGCAGGAAAGTCATGCTCAGCAGGTGGAAATCCTTCCCCTCACAGAAAAGCTCCAGCAAATCCAGGCTATAGTTCTATAGAAAGAAGGAAAAAGTAAGGTTAAATTCCTTCTCAGCAGTGTCCCACCATTCAAAAACATTTCTTTAAAGATTCCTTTGAATGTGAAATTGACTAACCATAAATTTCAGTCAGCCTAGTCAATTTTAAAACTGTCACCTTTGAGTGTAAGACAAATAGATTTAATTAAGAATTATGATGTGATATTGTTAGATATAAACAAGAGGCGGGACCTGCGATACTCGCAGGGGGGGGTATTCCCCGCGGCTCCCGAGTGGTTCGCCTGCTGAAGCCGCAGGAGCTCCGCACAGAGGAGGATGCGGCAGCGACTGCAGGTGAGCCCAGCAGGTGGTCCGTTGGGTTCGCCAGGATTTCTCCACCCCCACCCCACGACAGCAGCAATGGCTGCAGCTAGCCACCAGCCTTCCAAGGGTTCCCCCCCAGCCACCGTGGCCGCGAGCAGCAAAGGCAGCGAGCCCTGTGTGGCTCTTTTCCCTCCCCCGCCGCTGCCACCGTTGCCAGCAGCAATGACGGCAATGGCCCCCCAGCAATGGCCGTGGCTCCCAGTCACCGGCTGCCAAGGCTTCTCTTCCTCCGCTGTCACCAGCAGCCACAGTTCCTGTTGGTAAGTGCTTTCTCTGTGCATGTGCAGGGAAGGCTCTTTTACTTTTGGGGGGATTTAAATATCCCCCATATACTTTGTCAACTTTTTAGATTTTTCTGCACATCTGGGGATTGCCTCAAATGTGCAGGAAAATCTCCCTGCCCCCCAGGTGCCCCTGATGTGCGGATTTAGATATCCGCACGCTGGAATTAGATATATAGATAATGGGGTGCTTTCATCTTGTGTTGAAGCAGCCCTCTCACCTGTTCAATATCTGCAGTTATCAATCTATCAAAACTAGTGCCATGATATCTTTAAGGGGAACTTCTTTCCATTGTGCTTTAGAAATAATCCTCTGTACACAGTCAGAATGACAGCATTCAGTTTGATTTGGGTTTTCTTAATAGTATCAACCAGATGCTAGAGTAGTGCTGTTTTGTAAATTTAACTTTGTTTTTATTTTTCTTAGTTCCAAGCTCAAACCTTTATATTCAGCTAAATGCTCTGCAGTTCACTCTGGATCAGAGGAGTATTCTTTGGTTAAACCAGTTTGCGCTAGACCTAAAACAGAGTCTCAATCAGTTCATGACCATGTACAAGTTAAACGAGAATTCGAAGTCAGAGGAGCATGTTGATGTTCGAGTTGATGGTTTAATGATAAAGGTACAGTTTGAAAAAATGCAGCACAGGAATCAATTATCACGATTCTTTTGCTGTATTGAATTGTGTATAAGAACAGTCTTATGTAAAATAAATATTTTTCAAATGAGTGGGCAACTTCTGACCTGTAAACGATATGTGATGCTTAAGAATTCTTTTCCCTCCCCTCCAAACAGAGAAACTGAAAACCCAAGCTGACTACAAAGATCTCCAAAGGGATCTTAGCTCAGTGATTCCGCGTGTAGTGCCGCTGAAATTCCCTATTAGCCATTGTTAGAAAAGGAAGGGAAAATCATAATGCCAGTATTGTAAACCCTTTGTAAGAATCTATGGTGTGACTACCTTTGGGTTACTGTGTACAGTTCTGGTTGCCTCATCTCTTAAAGAATATCATAGACCAAGAAGAGGAACAGAAAATATACCTGAGTGATGAAGGGGTTGGAGAACTTTACCCATGAGGAAAGTTTTATAAAATGATGCATGAAAGGGATAAAGTGGAGTGAGAAATTTCCCTCCTTGTATCATAAAGTTTAACTTAGAAGTTGATTGACTGTTCATTCAGTGTATACAGAGGAAAATACTTTTTTAACATATGGAAGTCACAACCTCAAGATGTGATATTGGTTTCTGCCCTTGATGGCTTTAAAAGACTGCAAGGAGGATAGACCTATCAATGACTGTTTGGTGTAATAGCTAAATGGAACATCCCAGTTCAGAAGCAATATGCCTATGAATACTGGCTGCTGGGGGGAGGGGATAAACGGGGAGGGCTACTGCCTTCATGCACCACTTGTGGGCTTTCTGGAAGCATCTAACTAACTACAGTTGGAAATAGAATACTGAACTAGAGGGAACTGAACCAGCAGTTTCATGCTCTTATTTTCCACAAATGATAGGCTTCACTTAATTTAAAAAGTTGTACTGCCATGATAGTCCATGAAAAATCCAAAAATAAGAACACAGTCCATATAATACCTTTTATTAGGACCCAATCAAATTGATAAGATAAAAATATTGTACAAGCAGCTTTCATGCTCACCAGAGCTCTCCATCAGGCTGGATGTTACAAAATTTAAAAAGAAATAAGGTTAGGAGGCAGATTTCTCAGGCCATGTTCTTAAGGTCATGCCTGAGAAATATGCCATCTGTCTGATGAAGAGCTGTGGTGAGCATGTTTTGTGTCAGTTTGGTTGAAACTAGTAAAAGATATTAAACTGGTTTCATTTTTCTCATAACACTACTATTTTATGTAGTGCAAAAATGTCCTAGAACGTAGAAGTGTTGCACATCCTTTTTCTATACAGAAGTGACAGTGTCTGCCCATAAGACTTACAATCTATATTGGTCAGGACCACAACAGAGGAACAGGCTCAAGATGATAAGTGAATAATGAGTAAAGGGGATAGTATATAGAGATGAAGAAATAGATAGAAGATTGGGCTAGGCTAGTTCAAAAAAGGCTCACTACAGTATCACATATATGCACATTTTCTTATAAGTTTTAGATAGCATTATAATCTAATATTCTAAAACTTGAAATAAACTATATCTGGTTAGCCTATTCTCTGCAGGTGATTCTATAGGAATATGATTAGCCATGTCATCCTTTTCTAGTTAATCTCCTTCATTAAGACAGTGATTCTCAGAGTTCACATAACAATGCCCCCACAGACTTAGTAGGCTGGTTCCTCTGTACCTCTGGCCACAACACACCCACACACTGCTTTACTGTAGTTCAATGTCTACCTTCACCTCCCAGTGTCCCTGCTGCTCTAGCCTGGAGAAACCAGGAATTTCCAACAGTTGGTTGGGAATTTACAACTAAGGGAGCGGTCAGACAGCATCTGGAAGCGGGTTAAACTGCTCCAGCTCCATGCGGTTTTTTTTAACCTGGAGAATCGCAATCACACTCACCTCTTTGCTCCAGATTGCTGCGCAGCCACATTGCTCCCTGCCGTCCACACGTGTTGTTTTTTTCTCTCTCTCAGTTTGGGCATGTGCACAGGCAGCCATCTGTAGAACAGCGATTTCCTCTTCAGCCCGACTGCTGTAGCACTTCCCTTTAAACGTTTACCACCGAAAATGGCCTCCCTGGGATCCCGAACTCGTCTAAAGGCTAAAACTAGGCACCATTTAAACATTGTTTTTGGTAACCCTGTGGCAGACCTCCACCTATGCATACACTGCCAATGCTTTTTTTAAAATGGTGGGCGAAAAGCAGAAGCCTCGGGCAGCTTTCGAGTAGGGAGGGGGTTTAAATCGGAAGTGGCTGGACACCGGAGGAGCGATCACACAGGGGGGAAATGCAGCTGGAACCGGAGAATCAGGAAAACACCACTTGGGGACCTGGTATCAAAATACTCCGGTTTAAAGCAGTTTTGAGCCGGAAAGCGACGGCTGGGAACGGGAGGCAGATGTTGACCGTGTGATCGCGCAGATAAAATCCATTTCTGAGGCGGGCCTAAGTGTCTTCCTTTTGGCTATTCTGGTGGGGTCATAACTCACAGTTTGGGAAACCATGAGACTTCGTAGTGTGTATGATCTGTAAGCATTGCTTAGGGCAGGCTACTTGTACATTGTCTCATGCACACCAATATAGTTTGCGTTAAGTTGTGCCCTTTTGTCATCTCTGACTTGTAACTGTTCTTTTTCCTGCAGTTTATCATTCCTTCTGAAAGGAAACAAAATCATAAAGACGATCCACGTGCAATTTCCATTCAGAGTTCTGAAATGATTGCTACAAATACTAGGCACTCGCCAAACTGCAGGCACTCTGATTTGGAAGCAGTGTTCCAAAACTTCAAAGACTATAACTTTTTCAGTAAAACTTTCACAGACTTCCCCAAATCCCCTGACTGTTTCAATCTTCTGCATCCCATCTTCCAGCGGCATGCTCATGAACAAGATACCAAGATGCATGATGTCTATAAAGGTTTTATTGCTCCCAAACTGAATAAATGTGCACTTAAAACATCTGCTGCTTCTGATGTCTGGGCAGTGCATTTTTCCCAGTTTTGGATAGACTATGAAGGAATGAAGAGTGGGAAAGGACGGCCAGTAAGCTTTGTAGACTCCTTTCCACTTTCACTCTGGGTTTGCCAGCCTTCAAGATTGGAAGAGTCATACAAAGAGGCATCTTTCTCTAATCAGAAAACTCTTAACATTCCAAAAAGTGACTCAAGTGACCTAGCAAGTCGACTGCAGCGCAAGAAACTTCTGAAGGAATATTATAGCACTGAGACAGAACCTTTGACTAATGGAACTGAAAATCTGCACACCGCTAACAGCACTTTGGAATCCAAGTCCTTATATATGTCAACTGATGCAGATATACACGTTCTAGTTCATGTCCAAAAGCATGCAAGCTTGCAGATCAATCATTATCAGTACATCTTCTTACTGTATCTCCAAGAATCTCTTGTATTACTTCTGGAAAACCTGAGAAAGGATGTAGAAGCTGTGACAGGGAACCCTGCAAAACAGGCAGATGTCTGCATTGGGATCTTGCTGAAGAGTGCAGACATAGCTCTATTACTCCATCCGGTGATGCAGGGAAGCACCTGCAAGTCTCCTGATCTAGGGAAGGGAAGTCCGGTGGCATCAGACCTCTCGCCTTTGGAAAATGAAACGACTTCTACATTGGAAAATAAATTAGCTGCTGCTCATACCGCACAGATGGGCAGTTTGGATATGAATGTTATATCAGACTGTAGAGCTGTGAATGCTGACCTTAGCAAAGCCATAATGATAGACCCTGTTTTCAAAACAGACAGAGATATGAATTTGCGAAGAGGAAGTTCTTTTTCAGACGATGCTTCAGAAAAACTTTTGGGGAAAATAAATGAAGAGAGTAGTAGTGGACTTTTCAGTCAAAGTGATTCAGAAGAAATTTGTGAGTCATTAAGTGAGAAAAGCAATACATATTCCAAAGATCTGATTAATATTTTAAGTTGCAGAGAAGATTCTATTGAGGAATTGATAGTCAAGGATGATGACAAAAGCATTTTTATAAATAAGGAAAGTGGAGCAGGGAGCTCACTTAAAGCCCCGCAGTTAGATGCTGATATGAACTGGCTGTCTGAAGAACATGAAAACAACAAAGAAAAACTTGCCGCAATTAAAACACTTGCATTTCAGCCTTCATTAAGGTATAGAAAATTAATTCATTGTTTTAGCAACTAACACTAAAATTGATGTCTCCCAATTAGTTAAGCATTCCTTCCTCACTGCATTTTGAGACACTGGGCAAGTTTCTCATCATATGGAAGAAATTGGAATTGGCTTCTGTGTGATGATGTTTTCTAATGTGTAAAGTGGCACATTGCATCATTCTTCTGTACCAGTTACACCATTTCAAAGCGAGCACAAGCTTCTGCCAGGGGAAATGAGAAGTATAGGGATGGAATTATCCATTTTGGATGAAGGACCTTTGAAGCACATTGTTGTGTGTTTTGGCAGTGTGGAAAATCCAGCTTATTTTCTCACTGCTCACACCTCATATGGCAGTAACTTATTTCCAAGATTGTGCTTGCCCTACCCATTGTTCAGGCTCACTAAAATAGCTGCATAGAAAATGTGCAAACAATGCATGTGCCTGGTGCCACTGGAGAACCTACCAATCCTCCCTTGCCCATTGGCAGCTTTGGAAAACAAACTCATTAAAAAGTACACATGTGGTCCAATGATGTCCTAAGTCTTTACCCTGTAACTGCTTGAAAAGCATAATACAGAGTATACTAGGCAACGTGAATAAATCACTTTTTGGGGTTTAACTGTTGTCACTTTTAACATTAAAATAATTATTTGGGTTTTCACCAACTTTTTGAAAGATCTGTTTTGAAGGATTTTGATTTTCTTTTGTAAACCCTTTTCACCATAAGTAATAATTTCCTAATATCTTTATATTAAAAAGTGGAAAGCCTAAGGAACGCTGCCAGTCCAATCTCCCTGCATTCTCTGTTTCTTATAAGAACATGAAGAAAAGTCCATCACAAGCCTCTTTGGACACCATTTCTATGGATAGCATGTTGCTGGAGGAACACTATTTGGAGAGTGATGGAAGTGATAGCCACAGCTTTTTGGAGAAAGGTAAGTAAATGTATTGATCATGAACACTTTTTAAAAAGTTCATAAGATTTCTCAACAGTTTTTCTTGTTTTTAGTGTTGAATGCCATTAATACTTAAAAGAGCCTTGTTTGAGATCTCAGAGGATGTAATTTTAGGTCTTTGTGGATTATTCAGAAAAACTATATGTAATAGGGCTCAGCACATTAATTTGTTGGGTTGGTTCACCATATGGCTGATGAATTTCTGCTTGACATCATTCCCAGCATATCTAATGCCAGCCAAGCAGATTGTATCTTCAGAGTATTCCTTGTGGCTAAATTGTTAATTACGGCTAAATCCTGTCAGTGATTGTGTATCCAAGTTTTTATTATGTAAATAGGGCTTTTTGTATTACTGAGGGTGGTGTTTGGCTTTGTGTTGAGTTACAGTAGTGTGGATACTGCCGTGACCTGGATAGCTCAGGCTAGCCTGATCTTGTCAGATCTTGGAAGCTAAGCAGGGTCGGCTTGGCTAGTATTTGGAAGAGAAAGCTCCAAGGGATACCAGGGTCATGACGCAGAGGCAGGCAATGACAAACCGTCTCTGAAACATCTCTTCCCAAGTCTAGCTTGTCACCTAGTGGTGCATAACGCTGAAGAGCTAGAACATCTGACTGCCAGACAATCTTAGGATCTCCTGGCTATTCTACACACAATGCCATATGATAATTATAATTCCAGGTGGATAGTCATGTTAGTCTGAAGCAGTAGAACAAAGCTTGAGTCCAGTGGCACCTTTAGGACTAACAGTTTTATTCAAGGTATGAGCTTTCGTGTACACGCACACTTCCTCAGGTGCAATGAAGTGGAATTGACCAGTTCATATGTATAAGGCAGAGGATGAACAGTAAATTAGCATACAACATAATGTTTGCATCTGTTAAAATGTCATTGTGTTGTATGCTAATTTGCTGTTCAACCTCTGCCTTATATGTGTGCACTGGTAAATTCCATTTCATTGTATCTGAGGAAGTGTGTGTGCACACGAAAGCTCATACCTCTGGTAATTATAATTATTACTGTTGTTAATTATGAACAATTATTTGAAAATAAATTACAGATTAAAAAGAAAGTAAAATTGTAAAATTTTAAAATCAGCTCTTTGGTTAACTTTTCTAGCAGGAGACAGAAATGCCTTTAAGTTACTTCATTTAACTGTATGCATGTTTTAATATATGCACATTTTTCTTTCCCATTTTTTTTATGTCTTGTGAGATGTTTTTACACTTTGGGAGGGGCCGTGGGGCAGTGGTAGAGCATCTGCTTGACATGCAGAAGGTCCCAGTTTCAATCCCAGGCATCTCCAGTTAAAAGACTTGGCAGTAGGTGATGTGAAAGACCTCTGCCTGAGACCCTGGAGAGCTGCTGCCAGTCTAAGTAGATGATACTGACCTTGATGGACCAAGGGTCTGATTCAGTATTGGGCGGCTTCAGGTGTTCATGTGTCTAAGTAAGGACTGCTTTTTTCCTGCTTTGGGGGAGAAACAGTGTCTAATAAAACATAATAAACCAAAGCATGGCAGTTTTAAAAGAGCTGAACTCCTGCTTGGGGCTTGCATACTAGGGATGGGCATGAACTGCATTTTTTGTGGTTTGTTTTGTGGTTCGTGGCTAAACCAAGAACCTACAAAAACTGGAAGGTTGTTTCACGAATGGAACTGGTTTGTATGGGTTTGTGACCCCTGCTTTCTGCGTGGAGTAGAAAGCAGAGGTCTAAAAAGCTGAGACACGTGGAGCAGTTTAAACTTTAAAGGGACTGCACAAGAAAGCCCCTTTAAACAGCTGATTGGTGGGGACCCCTAGCTGCTCAGCTGTTTTTGCGGCTTTCTGCTGGAGCAGAAAGAAGGGGTTTAAAGGGCCCCAGAGTCCCTTTAAATCCCTGATTTCTGCTCAGGCCAGGAACCAGCACAAACTCCACAAACTGCCTTAAAAGTTTGTGGAAGTCTGTGTTGGTACACCCGTCATGGCCTTTGGTTCCCAAACCATGAACAGGACAAAATTTGTCATGGTTCAGTTTGTGCCCATCCCTGTTGCATATCACAGTGATAAACAGCTTCATCCTTTATCATGATGTGTCACAACCTAGGAGGGCAGGCCTAAACCAGATGGTATGTTTTTGCATGAGTTAGGTCAGGTTTCTCCGGACCCAACTTGCCTTTGTCCCTACAACTCCACATAATGCTCACCAGGGCTATTTCAGCTTGAGAAAACAGCCTGTGGGGAAGACTAAGTGCCATACCACAGTCTTGCTCCAAATTGGTCCCTGCAGTGCTTCAGAGGAAGAAGTCTGCTGCAGCTGCCCTCTGGCTTCAGCGAAGTTGAGTTGGATCAGGAGAGCTTTGACTTGACGTTGTGCAAAAAACCTATCTAGTTCAGGCATCAGAGCTGGCATAGGCACAGTTTTATTTAGGACTGCATTGACTAATCTAGTTATTATTTACTGGCAGTCCTGAGATTTTAAATTGTGGTTTTTATGTTTTCTATAATTGTTTTATGTAAGTTGTAAGCTGCCTTGAGTTCTGCAAAGTAGAAAGGCAGCTGATAAACATTTTAAATAATAAATTGGCTGCGTGTAGTATAAGTACCTATATAAGACTGTAGAATATTCTTCTACCCCACTGTAACATGCTGATGCTTGCAACAGTGTGATCGTGGTGTAGAGAGCTAACAAAGGGTCAGATGCTTCATATGCTGTTGAGTCAAGCTATAAGCTCCTCCCCAGCCCTGGACAATTAAATGTTATAAGCTAATCTAAAAAGTAACAGAATTTTTTACTAATAATTTAAGAGGCATGAGAACATATTAAGACCAGTTCTAATGCATCTATTCAGAGAGTTGTGGGGCTTGCAAGGAAGAAATCTCTTTTTTGCAGCGTCCATGGAGGGAGCTACAGTGAACGCATCAAGTCTAAGTGGATGGACCTCATCAGTGTGCCACATCCATGCTCACTGAATATAGGAGCTATGTGTAGATCTTCAGACATTTCAATCAAATTGGTTCAGTTTTTTTAAGCCAATCTGTATACACATTTCTGTGTGTTTGGAGCCAATTAAGATAACCTGAGTAAAATGCTTATCTTTATATTGCATGCTCTTCTCCCATGTCTTTTGAAGTAGTCATAATAACATGAAGTAGTTTTAGAATGCACTTAACATATATGAACTCATTTACTCTCCTTTTTGTAATTACAAAAGCTATTTCCTCAATGAACCCAGCAGAAAATGCTCCTGAAGAAGGCACAGTGATAGAGAATTATGGGGGATCATCACCAGACGTCCTCAGTGCAGCTTCAGAGAATGCGCAGGATGCCAGTGAAGAAATGGTAAAGATCGCCAGAGGTCATTTTTATAAGTAATGATTAGAATTGGAAGAGCAGCTGTTTTGGTTGGGAAAGCTGATGTGACAGGTTGGACCCATGGACACTGCTGCCATTATAAAGAAATTTAAAAATGCCATGAGAGCCTGATCCTGATCAGGCCCACAACAGGCTGGGGCACTTGCAAGTGCTGAAATAGCCACATCCCCCACACACACACACACACAGCAGCTGTTTCAGCACTTGAAAAGGGCTGTGGGGGAACAAGAGTGCCTCAGCCTACTGTGCTGCAGGCCCAATTGGACTGGGCCTTAGCAGCATTTTTTAGTTTCTTTAAAATGACAGCAGCATCCATGGGTCCAATGTGTGGACACTGTCACATCTGGCTTGGCTCTGGGATATACAAATACAGGGGGTTTGTCCTTGGATTAATTCCTAATTTAGAATCCTGATGAGAGAAACTCATTCCTGTTAAGGTGTATACTTGCATTGTATATCACTGCTAACCAGAGTTAGTTTTAAATCAGGATTCCTTCATTGCACTCTGTGAGGGATGTGCATATGTGAGTCTAGCTGGATTTGTGCACATTCAGGCTTAATGTCAGTTTGCTGTAACAGTGAACATAATCACAGTGTTCTTTGGCGCTTGTAAATAGTCTTTCGCTATCTCGCTGTTTGAAGGGTTCAGCAATTGCACTTTTCTCTGTATGAACCAATTGGAGTGTGTTCAGCCCTGTAGCCAGAATTTTTTGGGGGGAGGGGCTCTGGGGCACCAGGTGGGGGTTCTTATTAAATTAAATTTAAATTTAATTTAATTAATGGAGCAGGGTAGGGGTTGGGGTAGGGGGAGTAGTAACTACTTACCCACTGCGCCTGTATTGGTAGTGTCATTATGTTACCCATCACTGCCCCTCCCTCCCCTATGCTGGCCTGAAGTGATCCCTCAAACCTCCTTCCTTCTGCTGAAGGAAGGAGGAGTCTTAGCAGAATCGCCTTGGGCTTGCCCCCAAAGGCCAGGGATTTTTCTGTGGGGAGGAGGGAGGAAGGCATTGCCCCAGGTTCCCTTCCCCCCACCAATGGAAGGACGAGCTTCAAGTTGGCATGATGGTGCAGCCTCTTGCAGGCCCAAGTACTTCTCTGGGGAGGATTTGGGAAGCATTGCTGCACATTAGCACCATGCACCCCAGGCTCCCTCCCCCCACCAACAGAAGAAAGGGCTTCGAGCTGGCAGTGGTCTAAGGTGGTGTGGCTTAGGAAGACCCACAAGGCCAGGTATTTCTCTGGGAGGGAGGAGGGAAACAGCAGTGGGGTGGGGGGCTTTAGGTTGCCTGGTGGGGTTTGGGGGATATGTGCCTGCTGGGGCTTTGGGATACTCAATAAGGGGCTCAGCCCCCAAAGCCCACCTCTGGCTGTGGCCCTGTTAGTGGAATATGAAAATGAGACAAATGGGTTTATCTCTTGAGGTTATGGTTTCTCCTAAATGTTAAAGAAGGAGCGACAGAAAGAGAAGTATAAAGTGACTGCTTTGTGAATACGGGGTAAAAACAGAGGCAGTAGTTACAAGATACCAGACACATACAGAACTGAGACACTTATGCCGTTAAGGATGAAAAAGTTAATTTAGGTCCCTCCTTTTGTTTTAATGTCAATGTATTGCTTTGATTCTGTGCCTGTATAATAACAGAGACCTTTGAAGAACTGGAAACTGAGCTTTTCCAGGTTAATTGCTAATTGTATTTTGATTTGTAGATGTCTGTCCTGGTTTTTAAAATATTTGGTGTTAACGGTGAAATTGATATCAGAGGTGAAGACACAGAAGTGTGCCTTGTGGTGAATCGTGTCATTCCGAATCAGTTAGGTAATATCAGTGTTCGGCATTACCTCTGCAATCGTACAGCAGGTAAGAACAAACTTAATATAAAAGGCACTAGTGCTGTTGCATTGCCCATTACAATGTTAACAATATCCATTTTGTTAATGAATTGTTAGAATAAGCCAAGATGTTGTTGTCATTTTCCGCCAGCAAGAGAAGACTTTTTAAAATTTTATCTGCATTCTCTCAGTGATTCCTTCTTTCTTTACAACGCAAAGATGTTTATTGCAGCATATGAAGACTGATCAAAATCCTGTTTCACTATGATTCCTACCTGTACATATTTTGAGATACCTCTGGTGTATGAAAATTTGTATAGTTAGGAATCATGGTGAAGACAGGATTTTGATCAGGGTTCACATGCTGTAATAAACAACTCTGCATTGTTAAGATTTCACTGCCGTGCTGCTTGTATTTACTTACAGGGATGGGCACAAACTGGTTCATGAACTGAAATCTGGCCTAAACTTGGAACTGTTCGGAGTTTGTGAATGGATGTTCATGGATGGCACCTTCCCCAAACATTCACCGGACTGTTTGAGGCCAGCCATTTAAACCTGACAGCTGAGCAGCGTGGGGTCTGCCAATCAGCTGTTAGGTTTAAATGGCTGGCTGGCAGCCATTTAACTCTGGTTTTCCTTTGCCCCTTTTGAAGGGGGTGGGAAGTGAAACCAAAGGGGTCAATGGCTGCTAGCCATTTAAACCTAACAGCTGACTGGACCCACTGAACTGTTAGGTTTAAATGGCTGTGAGCCATTAAACCCCTCAGTTTCGCTCCCCCTTCAAAGCGAGGGAAGTGAAACCATCCAGTTAAATGACTGCCAGCCATTTAAACCTAACAGCTGTTGTAATATGCGTATACACACATACACACATACACACGTACAACATACGATTCAAGGAGGCTTGGTGGGATTTGGCCACAAACCCATACTGCTGCAGGCTAAATGTCCCTAACTGGTTGCAGCTCCAAGCAGAGGCCACCTCAGTGATGTCTGGTTAGTTGGGCACCAGTGAAGTGATGCCATGAAAGACAGGTGCCAACTTTCAGGCTAGCTTCTGAGAGGCAAAGACACCTAAGATGGTTGCCAAGGTAACCCCTCTAGTTCCCAGGATCTCACAATGACTCTGAATCTCATGAAAGCCTGAGATTTCTGATGGAGCATGCATGGTTCACTGCACTTCATTTAAAGTGGGCTGGAAAGTGGCGGATAAAAATATGCTCTGCCTGTAGCTATGAAAGCCAGCAAGTGGAAGCAGAGAGGAGGAGGGTGCTAAAGGCAGCATGGGGTGAGAGGGAAAAATAGGGTCCCAATGACAAGAATGTATGCTTGCAGCAAAATAAAGTGGAAAAGTAAATTGACTCCTGATAGAGTGAGACAAAGAGAAACCGCTGATTGTGTATATACACACCTCTTCTCATCCTTCCTGGCCATCCCTCAGTGACGTTCCTCAACTTGCACCAGGCTTTTGCTGGCCAGTAGTGGGCAGGAGCCTGCAAAATTGGGGGATCCCCTGCTTCCACCTGGGGGCTGGCAATCCTAGACTAGAACCACCCCAAAATGGTGCCTTCCAGACCCAAACCAGAAATGTAATCTAGCAGAACACTATGATTGATAGAACTGAAAGCTACTGAGAGGTCTAGAGAATCAACAGAAATGTAGTCCGTCTTCTGGTGCACATCATCCACCAGACTGACCAAGGCTATTTCAGTCCCATAAACAGACCTGAAACCAGATTGGAAAGGGTCCAGAGGAAAGTATTTAAGGGTTCCCATCATCCTCAATCCTATGACTCATGTAGTAGAGCCTGGTGATGTAATGCTTTTGCAGTGCAGCCTACTGAGTTCCAATAAAGGTTTATTTTGCCTCAATGGACCGTTTGAGCTGTGCACTCCTGGTGTATGTATATTAAACAAATCACTTACCCTAACTTAAGTCCCTTTTAGTTTCATAGTGCTTCTCTCTAGAAGATTATGGAGATGGGCCCATACTTTCCTTAAGCTTTGTTCAAGATCGTTAATGTGAGTTAGCCGTGAAGCTAGCTGTGAAGCTCTGACATGCTTTTGTGTTATGTCGAAGTAGGCCATAACATCAGCCTCTTAATGGCAATGTTGAAAGACTTGACTGCATACAGATACTTTCAATAGCCCATGAATTTCTTGTTCTGGTTCTGTGTTTTATAACAGGTTCAGATCCTAAATCAGTGAGTGGATCAGTCAAGTCAGCTCCTGAAATTAAACTGAGATGGGAAAGTGGACCCAGTGCTGTAATACACTCCCTGCTGTCAGAAAAAAATGGGTTTTTACAGTGTCATGTCGAAGACTTGAGTGCTGATTTCTTAACTTCTTCACTTATGAACATTCAGCATTTTTTGGAAGATGAAATGGTTGCAGAAGTGATGCCAATGAAGATAAAAATTTCTAATACTAGGATCATTTTAAAAGTATGTAAATTGGAAGTAGGTTTGGTGCTGGTTTTATTTATATAATGCACTAGGAAATAAGACCCATTGCGAAAAGAAATGCAATGAGCTCTAGAAAGAGTAAGCAAGTAACAAAAAAGTAAGGACGTATTGAGGCTCATGGAGGCCCCACGCAGCAATCCGCCTGGCCGCCCGCCTGGGCTCTCACTCGCATTATGTCGTCTCTCTGCTGGGGCAGCCCCATTGTCCTGTGGCCCGACTGGCTCCATCCCTGCAGCCTCCCACGTCAGCTCCACCACAGCACCATCCCCCCCAGCAGGAGCCACATCGCCGCCGCCCCCTCCTCTTCCCCCGCCTCCCTTTCTTCCCCATGACCGGTGCTTGCATGAAGCTGCAGAACTGGGTCTGGAGTGGGTGGTGCGGTGGGCGGCCGTCCCCTGTCCTCCACCTGGGCGGTTCCTGTCCTGCTCTGACGGTGGTTGCGCAGCTTTTCCGCAATCCTTCTCCCCCACCTCCAGCCATCCCCAGCCCCGCTCTGAAACAAATTAATGTGGAGCCATCTCCAGATGTGTGCTGAGTATTTTCTCCAGTCATGTGGCAATGGAACACACCTCCACCATTGTGCATTGTTCTTTATAGTGTACATTAAGTCAGAGCCCCTAATTATTCATAATTGTATAACTGTTGTGATTCTCCACATCTGCCCACCATCTCCTGTCTTGTTTGTATACACTTGGATGTCTGGAACCATGGTTTTTGATTATAAGGGGCCTTTTATATCAACAGTACAATATAGCATAATTTCATTGGGTGATACTGACAGATCCTTTTCAGTTACAATAGCACAATAGCCTGTTTGCAGATATAAATGAGGGAATAGTATTGCTTCAGGAGAATGCTGTGCACTCCTTTTAAGGCTAAATGTGTGTACGGACATGGAAGAATGTGAGTAGACAGCCCCCTACCCTGATTTAAAAACCTAACAAGTCCTGAAATATTGGCGAAAACTGTGGGTGTATCCTTGCTAATATTAACCATTTTAGAATTTTTCTGGATAAGCATTACCACTCTGGAACTATACTGTCCTTTATAGGTTTAGGTTTTTAAATTTCAAAACAAAACAAAACAGCCCAACTTTGCAAAACAGGCTGGAAAAAAGTATTTTGAACAGCAATCTAGTTGTTTCAATATGTAATCTGAAGGAAAAAATGGCAAGACATCATCATACTAAAACCCCAGCATTTCCTCAACACAAGCACAAGCTTGAGGCAAGACAATAGGACTTTCTGCACTATATGAGGGTCAGATATACATTTATTGTGTAATAAACTCATATGGTAGATGGGCCAAAAGGTACTCTAAGCAGGTAACTGTCTCCACCTTTCTAATGAAATCAGCCTAAATCTTTCCAAAATTAGGACCCTAAAATAGGGTACTTGCTTTTTTGATGGAATGTTACCCTTAAAGCACAGAATAACATGGCTCGATCAGCACTCTGAAAGTGTGTGACAGTTCTACAGGAGTAAGTAGACTTTAAAGAAAAGTGTTGTGTGAGCCCACCTTTTCAACAACTGATGGACAAAGTGTGAAATCTGGGCTTTCTTAGAAGCAATTGTCAGATAATACAGCATATCTCCCAGCACATCCTGAAACTGTAACAGGCAGAGAACTCTTCTGTGCAGTTCTTCAGCCTTTCTCCTATCAATGCTCTGTTACCTGTTGTTATTCTACACAGTATACCTACATAATGTTTGTGACCTAGTCCTATCCCAGTATTTACCTTGTTCATAAGATTCAGAATACTAGAGGATGAACTTAAAGCTATACTTTTAAGAAATTTTTGAACTCTAAAAGTAGTTCAGCAATATAACAAGATATATAGGGGGGCACTAATTCATGAACATTTGTTAAAATAAATTTTAATCTTTAAAGAGCCACAAGAGTCCAGTTTGCTTAAAATATGGGTTGTCCTTTGGAATTTTCTAGTATAAAGCTTAACTGTTAAATTGGACTGGGATGAGGTGATGTGTAAGATAATGCAATGTATATAGGTTTCTCCTGGGTTGGTGATTCTCCTATTATTTTTGGACAGGATAATTAGGTAATGGCTTGTAGGAATCTTCTTCCATTCTCTTATGTATGGATAATCCATGATTAGAGCAAAATCATAAGGTTAATTTTGCAAGTAACTAAAGCAAACTTGTCACTTGATCATTAATAGTTCTGAATCACCTAATAAAGCAGTTTAAACACAATTGGCTTCGTGGGTATCAGGATGAAATAGAGATACAAAAATTAGTGGTGCTCAATGAGGACCCTGCAATTCCTGCT